GGAAAGAGTAAGTTATTCTCTTTTTGTGTTCTTCATAAAGTACAACATTTAAACCATTCTCTTATCTACAGGTGAATCTTCTCTGCTTCACCTGCAAATACCTAGTATTCTTAGGCCCTTCAATTTGACATGTTCAGGCATAGTGGTGTACACGCATAACTTAAGCCATCAAGCAGCAAAGAAAAGTTTTAAGGCCAGCCTTGAGTAAGTTAACTATTGAGCTATACATTTTTTCCCCCACTCCCCTGATCTTAATATATTTTTAAGTTAAATGTGTGTGAGGGGTGGGGACAGTTTGAAGGAGTTATTCTCTTTCCATTGCATGGGTCCTAGGGACTGAATTCATCAGGCTTGGTGGCCAGTACCAGAGCCACTGAGCCATCTCAATGGCCCCCTTTCTTGTCCGGATCATGAGTAGTTCCTTAGTGTTCTGAGGCAGGGTAGTCCTAGGCTGGCTTCAAACATATGGCTGTCTTGTTTTGGCCTTCCTCATGCTATGACTGCAGGCGACTGCTGCCACACCTGGTTATTCTTGTTTGTTTGGTTTTGGTTTTTCAAGACAGGGTTTTTCTGTGAAGCCTTGGCTGTCCTGGAACTCACTCTGTAGATCAGGCTGGCCTCAAACTCACAGAGTGTGGAACCACTGCCTGGCACACCTGACTGCAGGGCTCTAGTGGAATAGAGAGCTGAATTGGCTCAAATCTTTCCCCAAGAATTCACATTTGCAGCCAGAATTAGGAATTATAGTAGATAAATATCTTTGAGTCAGTCAAACCAAATAATTGCTTTTTGCTTTTTAACTTAAAAAAAAAAAAATTGTGTCTGGTAGTGGTGGTACACACCTTTAATCCCAGCATTCGGGAGGCAGAGGCAGGCAGATCGCTCTGAGTTCGAGGCCAGCCTGGTTCTAAGACAGGCTGCAAAGCTACATAGAGAAACCCTGCCTCATTGTCATGATGTCTGTTCACAGCAATGGAAACTCTAAGACAGCCTGCGTAAGTGTGTGTGTACCCTATATATGCAGTGCCCGTGTATAAGATAACCAGGACTTTAGGCTGGCTATATGTCAGTCATGTATGATGATCATTCCTGATTGCCAGCTTGAACCAGATTGCCCTAGGATTCTCACCTCTGGGCACTGTATGAAGGCATTTCCAGGAAGAATTGACCAAGGAACAAGACCCTCCACAGTGTGACACCTGACAGGTAGCCTGTTACTGAGGACATGGTTGTGTTTCTTGCCTGCTTGCTTTGGTTTTTTTGCCGGTATGGTGGACATCCTTCCCTAACACCATACTGTAGCTTCCCTAGCCTTCCAATGTGAACTAAAGACCAGCAAAACTCAGGACTCTTCCAGGACTTGTGGACTGAGCAGCTTCGAGGTTCTCAGCTTCTCCAGTGTATAGATGGCTGTTGTTGAACCACCCATTCCATTAATGTAATGCTCTTTCATGCCAGGTGGTGGCGAATGCCTGTAATCTCAGCACTTGGGAGGCAGACACAGGTGGGTCTGTGAGTTTGAGGCCAGCCTGGTCTACAAAGCAAGCTTCAGGACAGCCAGGGCTGTTAGACAGAGAAACCCTGTCTCAAAACAACAGCAACAACAGCAACAAAGAGATCTACATTTATTGGTTCTATTCCCCCCAAAAAAACTCTGCCTAATGCAGCTTGTTAAATATTTTCACATAGTATTAAATATTTCTGAAATGCCTGCCATGTACTAGGCTGGTTTTTCCTTTTTCTATCTTCATGTGTGTTTGCATTGTATGTATGCTTATCTCCTGTGTGTGTGTGCATGTGGAGACCTGAGGGTGAGGTGAGGAATTGTCACCTTATTCACTGAGTCAAAGTCTCTGTCAAACCCAGAGCTTATAAATATGGCCAGTCTTAACTTGACAGCCTGCTCTGAGGATAGCGTATCTCTGCTGAGACTGAAATTACAGGTGAACAGCCATACCCACTTGGCATTTATGTGGGCTCTGGTCATCTGAACTCAAGTCCTCACACTTGTGTGGCAAGGGATCTAACCACTGAGCTATCTCCCTGAGATTTAGGGAGTTTGTATGTAGTAATTTAATTCCCACAAGACTTAGGTGTGTGGGTATCAGCATGGAAGGAAACTCAGGAAGGGTCTCAAGATCACAAAAAGTGATAGAACTAAGATTCAAACACAGACATGCGTGTGCTCAAAACTTGAGATCATTTCATCCTCAAGAAGCAGAGATAGTGGTGGCTACACACTGTATCCAGTAGCAAAGCAGTCAATCTCTTACACCCGTGTTTGACAGAATGACTTCACAATGTTTATTTCCTTTATCCATCACTTGCTTTTAAAATAACTTGAAAAGAGGCTTCTGTTGTCAGTATTACTGTTGAAATTAAGTATTTTTTTTAACTTTTATTATTGAAAGCTGAAAATTTTCATTTATCCTTTATATGTACAAATATTTTGTCTGAATGTATGTGTATGTCTGTGCACCACATACAATGTCCTTAGATGCCAAACTGGAGTTACAGTGAGGAGTCGTGTGGGTGCTGGGAATGAAGCCCAGGTCCTCTGCAAGAGCAGCCAGTGCTCTTGACTGCTGAACTATCTCAGGTCCTAATGGTGTCTTAACTAGATTCTCTTAACTAGAATTTTTTAAATCACAGGTTTTTAATTGTTTGTTGTTTATGTATGAAAGCCATACATTTGAAATTATTTTAAAGTGGAATTTATAGATAGCCAGGTACAACTATCAACAAATTTAAATGGCTACTTTATCACTGAAAATCTTCATGTCCTTCCCCTTTCTTTTATGATTTGTTTTAATTGTGCACAGTTGTGTGTCTGTGTGTGGTTATGTGCACGAGTGCAGGTCCCCCTGGAGCTGGAGTCACAGGTGGTTGTGAGGCACCTGGTGTAGCTTCTGGGAACTGAACTCTGGTCCTGTGCAAGAGCAGTACATTCTCTTCACAGCTGAGTCATCTCTCCAGCCCTTATGTTCTTTCCTGATCATCCCAAACCACTTCTCCAGCCTACACAGCTACTGGTGCATTTCTTTTTAAGTTTCATATATCTAGAATCATACAAAAACATTCTTTAATTCAATGCAAAATTTGCATTTGGGCCATGTTGCTGTGAATCAGCAGTTTTCTGTTGTGTAGATTTCCACTGTCTGTCCCACAATTCCAGTGCCTTCACTCATTGGTGGGAATTTAGCTTGCTTGAAGTTTGATGAATAAATGTTTTGAATATTTGTATATAAGTCTGCGTGGCCGTGTTTTAATTTCTCTTGAGTAAGTAGGCTTGGAATTGGCAGGTGTTACAGCAGAAACTGCTGGAGAATTGTGAAGTTTGGGCCATCTTTGCATCTCAGTGTAAAAGATCTGAACTGCCCAGACTCAACCCTGAGTGTTGGCTGTTCATGGGTGTACAGTGTTATCAGCTAAGGAGTTTAATAAACTTACACATTTTTAATATATAAAAATGTGTGTATACATGTCACAGTGTACATCTGAAGGTCAGTGGACAACTTGGAAAGAGTTCTATGAATGTTCTGGAGATTGAGTCCAGGTGATTATGCTTGGTAAGAGGTTCTCTTACTCACTGAGCCATCTCATTGACTCTTGAATTTCTGTTCTAATAATGGTAAGCATATTTTCACATGCTTTTGATAAGTGGTGTTGCTTTGAATTATTTGTTTACATTTTTTTTTTTTTTTTTTTGAGGTGGGGTTTCTCTGTGTAACAGTCCTGGCTGTCCTAGAACTCTCTCTGTAGACCAGGCTGGCCTTGAACTCACAGAGATCCATCTACCCGAGTTCTAGGCCAGTGCACTACCACCACCACTAGCACTTGTGTTTTTGTCTTTATCTTTGAGATCTAAGCCCCCTTCATGTATTATTTGTCAGATACGTGCTCCCCAGCACAACTAGGATATCTGTCCCAGTTGACGGCCTTCTTCCTTTTTCTTGAGTCTTGCTGTGTCCCAGACTGGCCTTGAATTCACCACCCTCCACCTCTGAGTACTGGGATTACAGATACGTACCACCATTCCTGGTTCACTGCCTTCATTTTTGCTTTGTTTTGTAACAAGCTCTTGTGTAGCCCAAGCTGGTCTGGAATTCTTCATTTCTCAATCTACAGAGTTTTGGAATCAAAACTTGCACCTCCAAAGTTAATGATGGCTGTGATTGTGAGATTCAGTATGATGCTTGAGTATATGAAAATCAGTCTCTTGGTTACAGTCCTGATGAGGGGAAGCCTGTACCACCACCCACCAGGTTACTGTACTCAGCTACAGAGCTGGGGGTGGTTATTGATGGCAAGTGTGGTGAGGTTTGCCATTGTCCAGGACTCCCCTCTGAACTAATTGAATAATTCCACTGTGGGCATGGCTATCTGTAGTCATCTGGCTTCTGTCCCTAATGCCTTTCTCTCAAATCACATTTGAGACCCTAATGAGGGGTGTGATTGAGGTTTGAATTTAGTCAACTCAGTAAGAGAAACTGGCCTTGGTTGGAGCATTTTGTTTGGAACTTGAGGCATTGTCTCACTTCGTAGCGTAGGCTGGCCTTTTGCTCACAGTGATCCTCCCTCCTGCTTCAGCCACTTGAGTGCTGGGATTACAAGTGTGAACCACCATAAGTGTCCACAATAGAGTTTTTAAAAGCCACATTTACTTGACTGTTCATGTTTGCTACTAACTTGAGCTATAGCATAAATAGCTCTGAATCACTTAGAAAACAAAATGAGATGGCTCAGTGGGTAGAGAGGTGCTTGTGGTGGCAGCCTGGCAGCCCAACCCACAGTGGAAGGAGGAAACATCACTTTTCAGCTTTTCCTGACTGACTCCTCTGATAAGAGAGCTGTGTGGGATGGTGACTCTTCCTCACCAGAATCGAGGTTTTGCAGTTTAGAGTTGATTATTAACTATATCTTGTGTCAAACACAGCTCTAAGTGAGTCTCAGGTAAATGTGACAGCAGCTTAGTGTGATGAGCTGATGCACAGAGAATGTTCCGTCTAAATATCAAAGTTTATTGAAATAAAATATAATCTATAATAAAAAATACTACGATGTTATTCACTGGTTACAGTTTTAAGTATATTAACAAAAACATCCAACATTTTAATCCAACGATGACACTACACTTGTGGTACAATAACAAACGAGATTAAACACTGAATAATACTGAATCATTGTGTCAGAAACATTTTAACTTTCCCACCTATATTCAGTGTCTTTTCAGAAGTAGTTTCCAAAAGTGAAACTTGAAATTTAAGACAATTTTTAGAGGTGTTCTCTGCATAATTAGCATTTAAAACACCCAAGTTTATTTCACTGAAAGGAGTTCAGCCCTGTGATGGGTAGGCACATTTTAGGTGTCTTTTTTCAAAGAACACATTCCAGTGCTTCTGTGTTGTTAGTTTTCACTCCATTTACAGCAGCAGAACGAATCATTAGACATAGAGAAGATCCTGGGACAGGCAGGGGAGGCGAGTGGAGGCACCGAGCCCTCACAGTCAGTTCTCACAGCCATTTCAGCTAGCACACAGCTCCATGTGTCAGCGCAAATTAGCTTCACACTGAAGTGGGGGACAAAAACCGGTGTCTTTTCCTTACTGTTGTTCAAAATGACAGTTTCAGTCATCATTCCACTTAACTTGTTGCTCTCCCAAATCCATGTTTCAACCTACTTATGCAGTCCATAACAAGGGAAAAGACTTATATGTGCTGGCATTAGGGAATGACTTTGCTGGGAAATTATCCCTTCTGACATGTAGCAGCCACACATCAGTCTTCTATGTGTATCTGCAATAAGTTGTCATTTTACTGAGGAAAATAAGTCTTAACAAAAAGTACTAGAACAAAGCTTCGCTAAAAACAAAACAAAACAGAACTAGGAAGTGAAAAGACACTGCTTTCTTTCACAGTGGTTATGTCATACAAATATTGGGTGGGAAAGAACAGCAACAAACATTCTGACAAAACAGACATCATTTTCAAAGATTAAACACCAATCTCTTATCTTAAAACTCATTCCAGGAGTTTTAGCTGCTTCCTAGGGCATTTCTGTTAGGATGTCTTCACTGATTCATGATTTATGATGGGCATTTCAGCTCCCTGACTTTCTACATGAAGCTGTGAAATGACTACTGGAGCCAAAGGAGCTCGGACTGCCTAGCAAGGGGCTCTGCACTGTGCATCCTCTAATCTAGATGTGACAATGCAGGCAGGGTTGAACATTGGAAAGGTGGCCAGTGACAAATTACTGTGTGAGCTGAGGAAGTCTCTATAATTCATGCTAAAGTGGGCACTTTCTGGGATAAGGGGGCTTTTGTTCTTTAAATTTACCATGGGACAAAGCATGGGTTTCCTATCTCTGCCATGATATTTCAACTAGTCAATGGGAGAGTGTCATGCCCTAAAAGATACTAGCTTACTAGACAAGTCTAACTATCCTTTGTCAGGACAAAGGAACATTGAATTTGAGGCAAGAGTTGAAGATTTTTACCCTGTTTATTCAGTTTAGTTTTCTTGAGTTCAGAAGATAGAAACTAGAATCCTACATGTAAAAAAATATATGTATATATCAATTTGTTAAGCTCTATTTCCTAATAGCAGAGATACCAGGATTAAATAAAGACATGCATAAATTACATCTTAGATTTTTTTCAAAGTAAGTTTTTCAGCATTCTGCAAGGTACCCTCCTGTTTTATCTTCTCTATTAGTTCCTTCAGGGAACTTTTAATTTTAAAAGTTATTTTCAACTGTTACCTGAGAAAAGTAAACTGAATTCTTCATAACTTTTCCCCTAACAGTTTAAAAGGTGTTGGGCATCAGTAACAAAAGAGGCTAAATTATCAGAGAACCAAGGACTCTTAAGATTCAAACGTTCCTTTGTGATTTCTCACTCTGCCTAAAGGAGCTGACTTGTACACCATCAGAGTTCATTTTCACACTAAACCACAAGTTAGTCTACACTGACAGCAGCGGAGAGAACAGTCAGTTCCTGATGCTGCTTTCCTCTGGAGGGAAAGGCCAAGGGGCTCTAAATGCTTAGATCTGTAAAAGTTATCTGGAGAACAGGTCTGTAAAGTGCATTTTATACACCAAATACTCCTGGTCTTGACACTAGTCTACCGAATACAAAAACAACTACAAAATATATTTTTGAAAGCCATGATGCCACATTCGAAATAATTCTACAACATTAAAAAAAAAAAAAAAACCAACTGATTTAAGTCATGATTAAAAAGTCTGCACATAAGAACAAGACGTGCAGTGTCTGTGATCTCCATGAGTCTCAGTGCTCAAAGTATGGCATTCATTCAGGAGAAGCAAGCTCTGGGGAGTGGTGGGAGAGGAGCACCCTGCACAGAGAGTAAGCCGAGGAGCACAGTGATTGCCAAAACAAGGCAAAGTCAGGTTCACATTTGGAAACAGGGTCTTACTACTTGTCCAGACTGGGTCCTGAACTCAGGGGCCTCCTGCTTCAGCCTCTCCAGAGGTGGGGTGACAGGTGTGTATTACCATACCCAGACAAAGGTTTCAAACATCAAATGATTCAAAATTTCACGTCTAATTCCTTAAAATGAGTGACTATCTTTAATGTCTTTTCCTTATTTTGTCAAACATTACTTTTTAAATTTAAATTGTATGCCTAAGACAGTTATAAGTGCAAACCTGTAAGCTTTCTGTCATTAAAAACAAAACAAAACAAAAAACTGGTACAATGGGTAAGAAAGCTAAGCAAAATGCAATCGGTTTGCTGTTTACTTTTTGAAAGAGTTTAAACAAGCTGGGTATGTAATCACGGCAGTGAGAAGCTGAGACAGGAGGATTCTGGGTTTGAAGGTAGCCAGGGTTACAACAGTTGATTCTGGGTCAGCTGGCTACACAGCAAGACCATGTCTAAAAATTTAAGCATGACTGAGGACAATTCTAGAAATTCTTGCCTTGATTTGCTACAATTTTCCAGACAGCTATCTGTTCACATGCTAATACAGACAGTGATCATGAGTCATACCTTTTCCTCACATCTGCCCTCTAGTCCTCAAGGTCTGCACTGAGTTTATGATTCACAGAAAACAAAATGCTATGAAGCTTTTGTATGAGTACAGAGTGGCCAATATGAGTTTAGTCAACTTAGGTTAGCCAAGATCAAGGGGCATGAGGAAACATTCAAAACAGATATGGATAAACTGTTAAACTAAAGAAAAGGGAGGCAATCAAAACAAGATAAGATATAAACCTAATCCCAAACTTAAGCCTCTGTCTTGCTCAAATCCTAGCCTTAGCTTAGAACATGGAGGAAGTTATTCTGCCTATGAACACTGGCTGGGAATAAAGCTAATGTCATAATTAACTGCTTTGCACCATACTGCTCCATGTGTCTAGACGCATATGCATGTTCTAGACCAGGGCCTTGAGCATTCTGGTGTGTGCATGTGCATATTTTTTAAATGACAAATTTCAAATTTGATAGAAATTTTGCTTTGAGACTCAAACAGAAGTCATGGTAATCTGCTTCAGAAACACACACACACACACACACACACACACACACACACACGCTTCTAGGTATTGATAAACTAGTACAAGTCATAGCACTGTTGATATAATGGGGTTATTCATGAAGAAGTACACGTTAATAAAGACTGGTCACTAATCTTAAGACTATGCTTTGAAAGCAAGAGAAAAGTCAGGGACAATATCTGCTTCTCCACCTGCCTTCTGTCAGCTCTCATGGTGAATGGGTACATGCTGAATGTGCCTGAAATTTAGCCTAGAAACATTAAGCTCCAAAATGTTTAAATTCTAACACCAGTTAGCAAGATATGTATAACAATTTCAAGTATTACAAAGTATTGTGAGGGGAAAAATACCTCAAAATACCATTTTCAAAGTCCTATGTACCCAAATAAGCAACAATATGCCTGAATATCTATCACTTGCTACCTTGAGCAAAGCATAGGAAATAAGCACACGGCAGTTTAGATCCTTGACAGCTTTTGAGGACAGGAAAGCATCTCAGAAATTTGTTTTAATAGAGTCAATCATTTAATTTCCCCCACAGTAATCAAAACAAGTATCTTATTATGACTCTTGTCATATCAAACAATTCCAGGAATGTAGCCAAGGCCAACTTACAAATCTGACATGAGAAAAGATTGGATTAACACACACAATGCATTACTTGTCATAAGGGCACACTGACATCGACTTATCTGATAGCGATGCTGGTTTTGAGTGAGTTGTGTTTGTTTTGTTCTCTATTTCTTCTAGAGGAAATGCAGTATGGCAATATTATCTTTGGAACAAATTAAGATAGTAAAAAAACAACATAATTTTATATATAGATTCTTCAAGGGCAATAAATAGATATTGTATATAACTATGGAAAAATATGCCTCAAGTATACTTTTTTTAAAAATTACTCAAGGTTTATTGTTTTCTAAATTAAAATAATAGACTGTTCTGGGAAAAGCAAACCCTGAGGCTTGAGCTTTCTCCTTTAATCACCAGAGTGCTATCTATCATGGGTGTTTATGCTGAGGTCAGGCTACCCAAAGTGGTCTGAGCTCTGACAATTCACACTCATTCTAGGTTGGAATCAAGAGACTTACCAAGTATTTTATACACAAATTTTATACCCCGTCAGGCTCTCTGATTGATTCCCATGCTAGCATAGGAAATCTGAAGAAATAACAACATAAATAGACATGTAATATAGAAGGATATAAAGGATACAGCATGGTCCTGAATTTTTACCCTTAGAATAATACTTTTCATTAAGAAAACTACTTTTTACATACAGATTCATCCTATAGCTGGTTGGGATCATGGAGAATGTTAATGACAATAGTCTCAAGAAACTCTGGACTTTTTTTTTTTTTTTTTTTTTTGGTAATCTTTTGTTGCCTCCAGACCACAAGAAATATTCTTTAACTGGATGTTCAATTTGTGATGTTCCTGAATAAACAAGTTTACTGAGGCTTAGGGCAAATCACACAGCTATCTGCACCAGCAATAATCTTTAAAAATGACGGAAATAAACTTTAAATACAAAGTATATAAAAAGGACTGTTAAGGATAGTTTTCCAAACTTGATCTAGAAATACAATATGTGCTGCCTCATCACAAAGCTGAGTAAATATTCTTTCAGAAGCCTATAAACGATAGAAGATGTCTTAGGTTTATTTGGTTCTCATAAGTTAAAAAATCTGATTGCTTTTACATAAATTCCTTCAGATTCCTGCTATGTTCAGAATTTTATTAATATCTTTTCACTAGAGTCAAGAGATTAACTCTCCCTCAGAAATGTGCTTTTTATTGGTTTAACTATGCTTAGTTTTCTAGCAATAAACATGATTTAAAATTTAAGGTTCAAGGTAATTCTAGAAAAAGGTAGACAGTGAACTCTGCTCTTCTCTGCCATTATATTTACAAGGCTGAACATAAATGTGGTCTTCTCTTCACTCACATATTACATCTGTAACAAACAAACCACCATTCAGGTTACCTAAAGGTGTTAAAATTCCTCAGAATCTTACAACACTACAAAGTCAGTATCTGATTTGGATAGGTTATATGTATTAGTGTCATGTAATTTTTTTGTTTTTGTTTTTTTTTGTTTTTTTTTTTGTTATTGGAAAATAAAAAATACTTTTTCTATCTAAATTGGATCCAAGCTCCATTATCAGTTCTCAAGATAATAGCTAAAATGTACATTAATAAAGAAAGGTAAAGCTGTTTAAGGGCTGAACCAGTTCAATGTACAATGAAGGGTCATTTATTCCTGCTTTTTTCTCTCTCCCTATATTAAACTCCTCAATTTTTATGTATTAGAACATAATTTAATGTAAATGTTTCAGAAACAGTTGTGCTAATAATTACATCTTGAGAAGGATCGCTCACTCAGTGATCTCCATCCATTGTCAGACAGAACACAGTAGCTTACTGATTGGAGTTGCCTTGTCACTAAACACAACATAGGAGTGATATACTTATTTGGCTACAAGTGACAACACACAACAGTTCCAACTTGTAACATAAAACTCCAGCTCATAAAGAGTGTATTGTGTAACTTAAAAAAGTTGATTGTAACAAAGTAACAACCTTCCCCTGGAAAACAAGAGCAAAATCCATTGGGAGATCAGGCACAGACGGTAGGTACTGGTTCTTCCTTTCCGTCATCTGCATAGGTGGTTCCCATAGATACCAGCACTTCCTATAAAATCACACAGCTATTTTTTTCCTTTTCTTTCTCTTTGTCTTTTTCCCGGGGTTCCTTTCGTTTCCGTTCACTATTTCCAGGCTGTTTTACACTTGATGGAGAGGCTTGTTGTGCTGGCTGGCTCTGCTGTATGAGGAACACATGGGAAGAGATGACTAATTTTCCTGGAAATCAGAGCTAGCTAGAACCACAAAGCAAAAGGCATCCTTATAGAAACTGACACTTGGGACATGGCTTCTGTTTACAGGTGTTAAGCTTTGGATGGGAGATATCCCTGGTCCACAGCAGGCCTGTTGCTGTGGGACATTTGGGTATCTTAGGGAATAGGGCCTAGTGGTCCACATAAGGGAAGTAGTGGGGCATGTTTTCCTGCCTAGTTCTGCTGCTGCTTCCTGATGGAAAATGTGCTACCAACTCCCACCTCCACCTACTGAGCACTGTCCAACTATGCCTTCCTCATTATGATGTACTGTACCCTTTTCCATAAATATCAACAAATCTTTTTGTCTAAGTTGCTTCTGTCAGGTGACAGAATTCTCTGACTTCTGTCAGAGAATTAATATATGGGATATCTGAAAAAAATAATGTATAATTAACTATGTACTTAGTATTCCAAATACATAATTATCTAAACTAAGCTTCTAGTTTAAGAACTATTTGTGTTAAAGTGACAATTTTGGCAAGCTATAATATTTCTTCAGTATTTCATTAAATATCATAATAAGTCTTAAAAGCAATAAAAAAGAACCCTGAGAATTGAAAATGTGTGCTACAAGATCAGAGAACTTGAATGAAATGAAAAGCAGATTTTAACATGGTAGGACTCATCTGTTAAGCTTGGATAGTTAGTGCTTGATTTAGAGGCAGAAGTTTGACACATATTTTAATGGAAAGAAAGGAGAGGGAGAATGTTGGGAGATGTCATTTGGTAAATATGTTTCTCTTATTGGTTAATGAATAAAGTATTGTTGGTAAATAGGAAGGCAAGATAGGTGGAACTAGGAGGTAAGGATGATTCTGGGAGATGTAGTACAAAGGAGAGTCAAGATGTAGGGACTTGAGAGAAGAAGGTCTGGACCCTCTCTCCAGTAAGATGAGACCATGTGGAAACACTTAGATTAATAGAAATGGGTTAATATTTAAGACAGAGCTAGACAATAAGAAATGCTAGTAACAGGCCAACAGCTTTATATCTAGTATAGTGTCTCTGTGTGATATTTGGAGCTGATGCAGCTGTGGGACCAGGCTGGTGGGAAAACTTCTCATAACAGGAGAGAGAGAGAGAGAGAGAGAGAGAGAGAGAGAGAGAGAGAGAGAGAGAGAGAGAGAGAGCAAGAGCACTTGCACACTGTGTGTGGTGTGAGTGCAAGACCAGAGGAGCACATCTGGCCCTCCTTTCAATCTCAGCCTTATTTCTTTGAGAGATGCTCTCTCAGAATCTGGAGCTAGGTTCAAGGCCACCAAGCCCTTGAGATCTTCCTATCTGCCCACCAGAGTTCTGGGGTTATAGGTGTATGGAGATGTGAACTCAGGCCTTCAAGTTTGCACACCACTCTTACAGGCAGGGCCATTACCCCAACCCTTTTAATGGTGAATTCTGTACTTGGTTTCTTGTATACCCAAGTCAAAGGGAAATTTTCTGGCATGGGGTAGGTTATCATAAAATAAAGGGGTACTTTTTAATTCATGAAATTAGATTTAGCATGCAGAAACTTGTGTGACAGTCATATTTTGCTGCTTAAAACAAAAATCAACAAAGGTTCCAAGGAGAGAAATGCTAACCTGTACTGAATATGTGTTGAAAATTGAATTAAATGGCAGCACTGTTGTTTCCAAAGAATCCTCAGGATGAAGTCTTCTGTTTTAATAGGGAAAGGGGGCCTCGAGAGGCAAAGGACTGTAATCAGGTGTTTGCAATAGGAAAGAGCAACCAGCAGGAACTGTAAGCCCATGTCTATGGCTCCTAAAATTGTACTTTTTCTAGCAAAACCTCAGACTACCTCTAGTTCAAAGGAAGTACTTTGTTCAAGTTAGTTTATAGTTTGTAGCTGTAAAGGTCTTTAAAAGGTTAAATAACCTTATGAGAACATCTGAAAAAATGTCTTCCTGAAATCAGAAATATGTTAGAATAGTAAAAAAAAAAAGTCAGAACAATGTGAAAGAATACCACAGGAAGAGCTAGAGAATGGTGCAGTGGTTAAGAGCATTTGTTCTTGCTGAGGACCTGGATTTGATTCCTAGCACTCATATGGTGGTTCACCACTGTCTGTAATTCCAGTTACAGGGAATATGATGCCCTCTTCTGTCTTCTGCAGGCACCAGGCACACACACAGTGCACAGATATACATGTAAGCAAAACATTCAAACACAAAAATAAAATATAAATAAATCTAAAAACAAAACAAAAAACTCTCAAACGCTTGGGTGCTGGCTGACATGCTAACACAGCTGAAAAGCAAGGGCCAACTTCCAACTGCTTCTCCCAGACAAATTCTGTTACTGCTAAAGTGACTGTCATGTCTGACATTCAGAGTTGCAGTTTTACCTGGACCTGTGTGGATGTGGTGGTGGCAGCCACAGCCAACTGCGCCTGCTCCTGCTCCTGATAGTACTGGGAGGCTCGTCTGTCTTCCTCCTCTTGGAGTTTCTTCGCCAACTCCAGGTCACTGATCCCTTCTGGGATTTGCTCCCAGTTGATCTCTTGGCTCTGCTGTTCTTGTTGCAGTGATAGTGCCATAAGGTAGTCCTGAGGAGTTCAATCACAACTGACGTCAGCTTTGAGATGTGACCCAGGAAGCAGCCAGTGTGAAGACAGACACCCATTAATGCGCTCCGAATGGCTATTACAGCACAGGGTTTCAAGCTCTGTGTCTAAGCACTTCTTTGCAGAGCTACAGATTTACCTCATTATTATCATTGCTCTACACACTTTAGAATCTGTTTGAAATCTCCTCTAGAAGCAATAAATAAGGCATTCAAGAAAGCTACTAAAAAAGAATCCCCTTGCTTACAAATGAAACATGTGAGCATGGAACATGCAGACAAGACAGAAAACCAGAAATATGAAGGCTGAAATCACTGTAACAGATGTAACTGTTGAGTATTTATAGCCATCTAGTATTTTCAACATTCACATAGAAATTCAAACACATCTCCCACCCTCTAAAACTATTTTAAACTTTTATTTTCCATCTAGCATTTGTTTTTAAAACAGTAAGAATTTCATAAGATAATTTACTCAATTCTCCCCTCTCCTCCCTACATTGTTTTGTCTTGGGCTGGTCTCAGTTGCAGATCTTTGTGTCTGGGCCTCCAGAGCTGGATTACAGCTATATACTACCATATCCAGCTCAAAGGATGGTTTTATTTTTATTTTACATTATTTACTTACTCATAGTTTTTGTTTTCGGCTGCATGTATGCCTGTGTGAAGGTGCCAGATCCCCTAGAATTGGAGTTACAGACCATTGTGAGCTGCCCTGTGGTTGCTGGGAATTGAACCCAGGTCCCCTGAAAGATTAGCCAATGCTCTTAACCACTGAGCCATCTCTCTAGTTCCTTACATATTAATTTTTGAGGAAGGTCCTTGCTGTATAGACTTGGCTGGCCTCAAAGTTGCCTGTGAGTGAAAGCCAAAGGACAACCTCAAGTGTCATTCATGCTTTTTTTGTTTTTTCCTCTCTCTCTCTCTCTCTCTCTCTCTCTCTCTCTCTCTGTGTGTGTGTGTGTGTGTGTAATGGGGGAGGAGTAGTACAGGCATGCATGTGTGTACATCTTTGGGGGTCAGAGCAGGACACTTTCTTTCTGCACTATAATCTTGAGACAGTCTGTGTTACTCTCTGTATTACAGTCTTGAGACAGAGTATCTTGGTGAATTATACATTCATCTTTTGGACTAAATTAAGCTAGGCAGTCAACCAGCTCGCATGAGACATTTGTCTCCATTCCTAACACTGACATTACAGTGATGCATTGCTATGCCAGACTTTTTACATGGATGTTAGGAATCTGAACTCAGATTTTCATGACTGTGGCTATGAATCCCAGGGATCATCTTGTCTCTACATTCCCAGCATGGAGATTACAAATGCATGTGGCCATTCCCAGCTCTTTACATGAGAGCTGAGGATTGAACTCAGGGCAGCAGGTACTTTATAGCTGAGCTGTTTCCCCAGCCCCCCAAAATAATTTTTAAAGCCAGTGTAGCTATAGTCAAACTCAATTACTAGGTAATTACATCTCCTAGCTACATACCTAGGTTATTTCCTATGGAGAAAAAAGTTCATTTTGGTCAAAAGTTATACTTACTATTTTTTTATTGACTTACTCTCCCCCTTCTCCCCCCCCCCAGGTGGTGCATATCTTTAATTCCAGCACTCAGAGGCAGAGGCAGTCGGATCTTTGTGAGTTTGAATGCATTCTGCTTTACACAATGAGTTCCAGAATAGCTAGTGCTACACAGAGAAACCCTGTCTTGAAAAACCAACAAACAAATAAATAAAATTAATGGATGAATCAAAAGTTTTAGATGAACAAACTGGTACTAGAAAAGAATTAGCTTTTTATTTGTTGACATTGGGTCTTTCTATGTTGCCCAGGCTGGTTCCAGCTTGTGAGTTCAGTGACATCTCCCAGCCTCCCAAGCAGTTGTGCACATTACCATGCCTCAATTAGGAGTATGCACTTTAGCCAAGCATGGCACAAGTCTTTAGTTCCAGCATTTGGGAAGCAGAAGCAGGCAGATCTCGAGTTTAAGGGAGCCTGGTCTACATAGGGAGTTCCAGACAAGCCAAGGCTGTATAGTGAGACCCTGTCTCAGAAAAAAAAGAAAAAGAAAGAGACTATGTACTTTAGACAATGTGATGTGGGATGGGGAAAAACAATTTTACCTGATCTATTTGGTCTTGTTGACCTTTGTACACAGTCTCAGGATCTGATGGAGGTCGCAGATGGAATTCTGAGTCACAGAAATTTCCATCACCATCTACATTGTGCAGGCTCTCCCAGACAACTTTTTCTTCAGTAAGAAACCCCTGGTCTGTTACCAACAAATACAGTTGACCCTTAGCAAGAAATAACAAATGAAAAAGGAGTGTTAAATTCTCCCAAACTAGCCAACATTATATTTAAAGAACATTTTAAAGCCATATGTTTGAAGTACAGTAACTATTCTAACTAGATCTATATAACCCAATAAAAAGACCAAATAGCTTCTCTGCTCAAATTCACTGGTTTTTGCCTAGAGCTGGTTGTCAGCATAGCACAGTGGAACAGGAGATAATGAGCTTCTGGCATGCTAACTGACAAACAGCTCTGGGGTTTACAATCTCATTTCACAAAATAGAAAGATATAACCAGAAAGCATACACACACACACACACCCCAAAAACCAAAAAAATCCCAACACTGTCTGGTTTTATTTACGTAAAAAAATTAGGCTGATAGAAATAATCCGGCCCAAACCAGCCTTTCCTTTTCTCTGTACCATTTTGCTCCTTTAAACAACAACAACAACAAGCCCCAAACTGTGTGCCTGTGTGTGGGCTGGCACACAAGTACAGTGCCCCTTGGGGCCAGAAGTGTGTCAGATCCTCTGAAGCAGGAGTTGCAGGCTGTCGTGAGCCACCTGACCTGGGTGCTGAGGACTGAATTAAGCTCTGTGATGGCAGTGCATGTTCTTAAACTGAGACATCTCTCCAGCCTCATGTGTGTTTTAAGTGCCCCACCACTGAGCTATACATGTCCCCAACCCTGCTATTGTCTAATCAAAACACACTGTCCCTTCTGCCCCTACTTAAGAGAAAAGGACAAACTTCTGCCTGTGGAGTCACTCCTTACTCCTTCCACATTCTTCTCCGTTCTTACCTTTAATATAAATTCCTCGTCAGTCACCCTTAAAACAACTAAACAGATTTCCACTTGAATGTGGTATTCTGTGGGGAAGAAGCTACCACTCTTAGTCAAAGTGTAAAAAGAACTAACAAATTACCATCATATTTATTTATCTAGTAGTGCTGGTGTGTGAATCCAGGTCTTGTGGAACTTGTTAAGCAAATTTCTTTACCACTCTACTACTACTCAAGCCAGTATTTGTTTCTTACCAACTTTAGTGCCACCCAGAACACTACTTTTCACTTCTAACCTCTTAATGGGAAAAAGCAAACCTCATAGTCTATTCTTTCCTTCATTATAACGCACAGACAGAACCTAAAATCACAGGTTGGTCAGGTGTAGTGGCCCATGCCTTTAATCCCAACATTCAGGAGGCAGAGAGAGGTGAATCTCTGTGAGTTCCAGGCCAGTCTGGTCTACATAGTGAGTTTGAAGACAGCCAGAGCTACATAGTGAGACCCTGTTTCAAAACAAATAATAAAGTTACAAGTTGATCTTCTTCACCTGTGGAAAGATACATGTGCTTCATTTTACCTTATGCTTCTAACATATTTGGAATCTTCACTTTTTTCTCTCTAATGAGTCTGTCAATGTCCTAAAAACATTTTTCACATTAAAAATAAAAATGGGAGTGGTGGTGGAATGGTTTCAGGGATAAAAGACAACCTGCATTTGATTCCTAGGACCCCTTACCTCCACAAGTGCACCATGGCACACAAATGTCTGTGCCTTAGTGTTCACACAAACTTTGTACACTCCCCAATAACAATGTAAAACAAACAAAACAACCCAATAGCCAGATGCAGGTGCAGTGGCATTTGACCCTGGTCCTAGTGCAAGGGAACTTGAGGTAGAAACATCATTTGGGTCCTGGATATTGAGGTGATCTAGCAATGTAGAAAGTTTGAGGCCAAGTATGGTGGTAGAATACTTTTTATCCTGGAATTTAGGAAACATGTAAATATGAGTTCAAGGCCAGCCTGATCTACATACTGAGTTCCAGGCCAGCAACAGTTACACAGTAAAACTGCCCCATAAAACAAAACATAACAAAAACATGAAAACTTGGATTCCATATCTATACCCCTAAATCCCCTACAGGGAGGAGTAATCACCCTTATGTTCAACATCTCCTTTTTTTGTTTTTTCAAGAGAGGGTTTCTCCGTGGCTTTGGAGCCTGTCTTGGAACTTGCTTTGTAGACCAGCCTGGCCTCGGGACTCACAGAGATCCATCTGCCTCTGCCTCTGCCTCCTGAGTGCCAGGATTAAAGGCTTGTGCCACCACCCAGGCTCAACATCTTCTTTGGCATATATTTATGAACAAGTTTCTCTTAATGTTTATCTCTTAACCGCTAAGCCATCTCTCCAGCTCTTTAATGTTTATTTCGAGTGTGTGTGTGTGTGTGTGTGTGTGTGTGTGTGTGTGTGTGTGTGTAGGAATCACATGACCTGGGTTCACACTCAGGTCCTCTTGGAGAACAGCCAGTGTTCTTAACTGAAGCACCTCTCCAGTCTTCAGCAAACCATTTCTAGGAGTTGCTGGCTACTGCTTTCTCCATTCCAGCCATTTTAAGTAACTAAAATTCTTTTGCTGCCTCTCCTGTTCTCCTCCCATGTCTACCCTCAGGGTTATCTCTTCTTTCCTAGCTTCCTAGGTGACACATTCTAACTTCCCTCTTGTCCCCTTCTTTCTTCTGTGAGTTGATCCTTTTAATACCTCAGAAGTACCTCTTACATCCTGGACCCTTAACAAGTATTTTTCCCCCTTATATCTGTTTCTTTTGTTTGTTCTGAGACAGTCATGCAACTCTGGCTGGCCTGGAACTTGCTATGTAGACCAGGCTGGCCTTAACTTACAGAGATTCACCTATTTCAGCCTCCCAGTGCAAAGGTGTGAGCCCTCATGCACAGTCAGTCATGGATGATTCAAGAAGGAGCATCACCATCCAGAGGACCCAGAAATCACTTATTTTTAAAATTCAATGGAGATATCTGGCTGATCTATCTCTTGACCCATTCTGGAATCTTTCCACATTGCAGTGAACGTCTTGCCCAAATCACTAGAATGTCCTTCCTTTATCTCTTGCAGTGTCTCCTAACTAAATTCCACATCTGCTTCTAAAGCCTAAAGCAAATTAATGTCACACAAGGAGCATGAGAGCACATGACACCAGTGCAGCATTGTTAAGCTATAGAATAAACTTAATGGGAAATCCTAGAAGCAGAAAAAGAGGCAGAGATAGTTTCTGAGCTCCCAAGGCCTTATAGACAGGCCTGCTTGGCCTAGACACAGGCACATCATCTTCAACCGCACAAAATTGAGGATACCTAGCTGACTAGTAAAGGCTTCCTGGATGGGGAAAAGGCTTTAATAGAAGAGAGAACATTAGAAGCGATGTAGCTCTATGGTAGAGTGCTTACCTAGCATGTATGAAGTGAAGGGTGAGGGGAGAGAGGGGAGAGAAGGCTCCCAGTCACCAATGACAGCCAGAGACCTTGTTTTTCCAAAAGACTATTTAATACCTACTCACTCTTGGGCCAAAAGAAGAAGAAAAGAAACATCAGATCCATTAAGAAAATAAGGTTCAGCCAGGTGGTGCTGGCACACACATTTAATCTCAGCACTTGAGAGGCAGACAAGTGGATCTGTTGAGTTTGAAATCAGCGTGGTCTACAGAGTGAGTTTCCAGGACAGCCTGAGCTACACAGAGAAACCCTGTCTCCAAAAATAAAGACCAAAAAAAAAAAAAAAAAAAAAAAAATCAAAAAGTCAGAAAAAAAATCTTACTTCTAAGCTTCCACTTCCCAACTCTCTTTTGAGATGACTACTCCTCAGGGCCTTTGCATACATGTTGGCTGCTAGTTATTTCTGCTTAGTTATTTCTTTTTGTTGTTAACTGATTAAACTCAGATGATTCATTCTCAGATTTCAGTTTTTTTCTTCCTTTCTTTTTTCAGTGCTAAGGGTCTTATGCATGCTGGGCAAGTAATCTACCACTGAGATGTACACCCCAAGTCCATAGGCTTGTGTGCATAGGACTTTCTCAGGGAAGTCTTTCCAGCTAAAATCCTGATAAGAGCTCTCAGAAGTCCTCTACAGAAGTATCTCAGTATCAAACAAAGAAGTCCTTAAATGGCAGGAACCATGGCTGCTGTACTAATGGCTGTAGTTGTCAGGATTAGCTTAGCTTTGTTAATGAATCAGTTGATCCAAGATCTGAAGAGGACAAATAAAGTAAGATGACAGAGCAGCCGTTTGGATCTGACATCCTTTGGCTTTAGACTCATCTTACATCTTGCACTCTCCTAACTATGAAGCTGAAACAATAAAACGTACTCTTCTTGAAATATGACAGTAATAGAAGAGCTATGACTTTGAGGCATTCTTTCATTGGCAAGCAAATCATTTTATACTACCCCATGTCATCCATTGATTAAAAAGCATTGATTGAAACATGAAACATTATGACTTTAATAAGCTACCTTAAAATAAAAAATAAACAAACATTCACATGGGAGGCAAGCTTGTAACAAGAAACAAAACAGTAAAAGCTCAGTAAGGACAATGTGGCCACTAATAGGTGGAGGGAGGATGGTTACAGCAGTGGTCCCCAGTCTTAGATTCACATTAAAATCACCTGAGAAGCATTTGAAGCTACTGATGTAGGACAGATAGGGTAGCATAGTGGTTGAGTGCTTGCCTAGCATGTGTAAAGCACTGGGTCTAATCCTCTGGATTGCAAAAAACAAACAGAACAAATAACAAAAAAAAAAAAAAACAAAAACAAAAACAAAAACAAAACCCTGGTGTTCAGGTTCCCCCTCCTTTAGAAATTCAGATTTAATTGCATTGGTGGTAAGTTCTGGGCATTCTGGGCCATTGGTATTTTTTTTTTTAAGTCATCCAGATAGGTCTAGGATACAATGAGGACTGGGAACCACTGGTGTAAGTAGAAATGCTTAATTTGAAATGCATCTTTAAGGATGGGTAATTTTGAGGAGGAGAAGTGAGGAAAGCTTCCCAAACAGTATGAAGAAATAAGAAAGGCAGTAAATGAGAACACATAAAACTCATAGAGGATGGGAACTTTGGCAGAGGGCACCTGCATTGTATCCTCTAGGCATAGGTGCTAACTGAACATCTGTGCTGTATTATCAACTTGGTAAGAACAGTATTCTGCCACACGGGTGTATGTTGATGATAAGTTCCTGAACTAAATGTTACTTGTAAATCAAGAGACAGATCTAAGAGATGAATAAAAGAGAGATTTGTAAGAGTGTGTGTATGCATGCAAAACCATAAACACACTGATAACTTTAATAAAAGCCAACACTTTTATAAAGATAACTTGTGTGTGTTGCGGGGGGGGGGGGGATCTTCTTATGTAGCCCAGGCTAGACTTGAACTTGCAATCCTTTTGCTCAGCCTCTTCAGTAGCTTAATCACAGGCAAGCACCAACACATTCTAGTTTAGGGCAAATCTTGATTCTAACTTTTAATATCTTTTAATGCTCAAATATAAACATCTTTCATTCATAGTCAGCCTGGTTCTAGCTCTAGGTATTTTGTTTCCTCTAAGTAAGAAATTACCTAGCTAGGCATGATAGCACATGACTGTAATCCCAGTGTTCCAAAGGCTGAGTCAGGAAGATCTCAAATTCAAGATCAGTGTGAGTAACCCACTTAAATCCTCTCTCCAAGAAAGTGAAAAGTAAACACTTGAAAGCAATAATCTGTGATAAAGAGGTTGAGACTTCATTTAAAATAAAGCTGACCAGTAACATTTAAATTGCTAATCCATTCCATTCTAGCCCAGTATTTAATAATAATTACATTTACAACTTGATGGCTAAGGAATATTATGCTCAATCTCATTCTGCAGCAGATCGAAACACATCTCTACATCAAGCTCCTTTGATTAAGAGGAAAAAATATCCATTTCTATATCCTACCTTGTGTTTTGTCATGGTGCTAAAATGATTATTCCGAAAGAACACACAGAGTTCTCCTTCCTGAACGGTTGAAGTCAGTTCACATAATCCATGGTAGGTCAGTTGAGTGGCTGTATTGTTTAGAAACTGCTCAGCTACAAAGCCTATGGAACCAATGTGTACTATGAGAAGGAAGAATCATTTCAAAGTCAGAAAGTTATTTTTCCTATTTACATTTGTTCCACTTGTATACAAAGGTCAATTAATATAAGACTTACTCTGTTACATGATGACCCCCAGATTGGAGATGCATCTTTCTAATTTTTTATTGGAGCAGTATCCCTGGTCATTTCTGTCCTTAAGAAACAGTGATGTGAAACCACTTTCATCCACAGGTATAGTCTCCTAACTTATGAAAACTTTCAGGTGGTTTACAAGAGACACAGTTACAATAAACAACAACAGGGAAGTTACTCTATAGCATTTTATAAGAGAGCTAGGCACGGTGGTATATGCCTTCAATCTCTGGGAGTTCAAGGTCAACCCTCCAGGGTTACACAGTGAGACTGTTTCAAAAGACTAGAGAGAGAGAGAGAGAGAGAGAGAGAGAGAGAGAGAGAGAGAGAGAGAGAGAGAGAGACATAGACAGAGAGACAGAGAGAGACATGCAAAGACACACAGAGACACACAGGGAGACACAGAGACAGAGAGAGTCACAGAGAACACACCAAGAGGTGCAGAGTCAAGTTGAGTTGGTCTTAAGTGCTACTTCAATCAGAAGCTGAAAATAACTGGATGGGAATCTTGGCAAGCCCAGTATACCTGAGCAAGGCAGGTTAGGACACTCCTTTTTCATTACTTTTTGCCAGGCAGGGCACTTGGAGGTTCAAAGGAGTTGTAGGCAGTTACAATACAACACAACAAGGACTTGGTTAGGGAGAGGAGAGTTTGAGGTTTACAACACACACTTGTGTTTACACATTGGGAAATAAGAGTTCCTCTTTATGTTATGTTATGTGATAACCTTGTTCAGCAGAATGTATTCAAGCTTTTACTATTATGTACCACATTAAAGGATGCACCATTTGCTCAAAAGTACTCCTGGTTGCAGTATTCATGCTCATGAATGCTTCCTTGAGAAAATACAAAAAATTCACTGGAGACAGAGCACACTACCTTTATGTTGTAGAAATCAAAAGTGAATACCAGACACAACTTTTTCAGTCTTCTTTCTATAGAATAGGAAATAGACTCACATAAAATAGATGATTTGCCCAAACTAGTGATGGCAAAGTGAAGATTGGAACCAGAGTTATTACTATTGGTATTAAAATGTTACCAGTTTAGTGCAGAGATGGTTATAAATTCCAACTGAATTACATATCACCCCAAGCCATAAAGCATAAACTTATTAAGAACTTAAAAATACAATGTTTCCTAATTCTTTTGTTGTCTCTTAAATGGTAATTTTAAAACAATATAGGTAAGACTACTTTAGGTTCAACTTTGAATAACTAAACAATTTTACAGAAGAATAAAAGCTAATAAGTATAAAAGGTATAATAAAAACACAATAACCATCTCAATCATAATTGATTTAGTTAAAAGTCAATGGTTCCAGGCAGGGTGGTGGTGGTGCACACCTTTAATCCTAGCACTCAGGAGGCAGAGACAGGCAGATCTCTGAGTTTGAGCCAAGCCTGGTCTACACAGTAAGTTTCAGGACATCCTCCAAAGCTATGGAGAAACTCTGTCTCAAAAATACACACACACACACACACACACACACACACACACACACACACACACAGTGTATATACAATTCTTAGAGGAAAGGCTATGCACACAGTTTCAAAGCCTAATGACAGATTATTAATTACACATTATTATTAATTATATAGTAAAAAGAGTGACCTAACAGTAAAGATATTTGGCCTATTCCAACCTCATTCAAGTTTAAATATAACTAATAATGGATAAGCTGACTCATGCACCTAATTTGATGCAGTAAGACTACTATAGAGGATGTTATCTGTGTGGTATCCCAACTAAAATTATATCACTTGTATCTATTCATAAGAGAACAATAAATAAATCAAAATTGGGGCTAGGCCATAAAATACTGGCCTTCACTATTCAAAAAATGTTAGTAAGGAAGAGTGGAAGTAGATGAGGGCTGAGTAGGAAGACAGGGTAGGAAGGTAGTAAGAGATAATAAATGCATGAAAGTTTTAGGGGGGGCGGCTAGAGATATGGTCCAGTGGTTAAAGCACATATTCATCTTGTAAAGGACCCAAGTTTGGTTTCGAGCACCCACACAATCTGATTGCTGACAAATACCTATAACTGTAACTCCAGGCAATCTAAAACCCCTTTCTGGCCTCAGTGGTCAGCCTCATACATGTGGTATACACACACACACACACACACACACACACACACACACACACACACACACTAACACACACAGTAAGTTTTGAAAAGTTTAAAAGAGTAGCTTTTGCCTGGTGTTGGTGGTGCACACCTTTAATCCTAGCACTTGGAAGGCAGAGGCAGTCAGATCTTTGTGAGTTTGAGGCCAACCTGATCTACAAAGTGAGTTCCAGGACAGCTAGTGAAACCCTGTCTCAAAAACCAAAAACAAGATGCCAGGCCTGGAGAGATGGTTAAGAGCACATACTGGCCAGGTGTTGGTGGCACACGCCTTTAATCCCAGCACTCTTGAGGCAAAGGCAATCAGATCTCTGTGAGTTCGAGGCCAGCCTGGTCTACAGAGTGAGTGCCAGGACAGGTTCCAAAACAATAAAGAGAAACCCTGACTTGAAAAACCAAACAGAAAAAAAGAAAAGAAAAGAAAAAAAAAGCACTCTGTTTGCAGAGGACCGGAATTCAGTTCCCAGCACCCACATCTGGCAGCTCATAACTGCCTATAACTTGACATCCCTCTGTCCTCACTCATGCAGATAGATACATATATACATAAATAAATAATAATAAAGATAGTTAAAAAACAAAAGAATACCTTCTTGGCTAGTGGTAGAACTTTGTGTTAATGCCCTTTCCTTTATATGGGGTTGGGGGTTGTCTGGCTTGAATTTGTGTCTGCCTTATGCAAACTGTCATAGTCTCTATGAGTTCATCTGTGCATCTGCCCTGTTGTGCTTGGACAATGCTGTTCCTTAAAATCATCCACCACCTCTGGCTCTTCCACTCTTCCACTCCCCTCTCCCACATAGATTCCTGAACTTTGGCAAGGAGGGGCTATAATAAGATAATCTCTTTCAGGGCTAAACACTCCAAAGTCTCTTTCTCTTTCTGCACGTTGCCCACTTATAGATCTTTGTGTTAATTACTATATATTATGAGAAGCTTCTCTGATGTGGGTTGAGCAAGGCACTGATCTAAGGATATAGCAATGTGTTGTTAGGAGTTGTTTTATTGTTGTGTTCATTTAGCAGAATAGTAGTAGTAGGTTTTCCCATGGGCCCATCACCTCATGGACTGGGCCTTATATCGTACCAAAAAGTGGTTGGTTACTCCTAAACCATTTATATTTGTACTAGTGGGCATATTTTGCAGGCAGGTTGTTCTTACAGCTCACAGGGTTTGTAGTTGGATGAGGCTGATGATTTCTTCTCCAGTAGTATATATAGCACCTTCTACCAATATGAATGCTAACCAGTAGGTATGAAGCTTGAGTACCAGCTAGATTTCTCAAGAAAGAGGGGGAAAATCAATTTTCTTCAATGGATTGACACTGGGTATATCCCCCACACTCTAGGGCAGGCCCCATACTTTTTCTAAGATTTACTTATTTATTTTATGTATATGTATTTTATGTATATGAGATCTGCATGGATGACTTTATATGAGATTCCACTATAGATGGTTGTGAGTCACCATGTGGATTTCTAGGAATTGAACTCAGTTGAACTCAGAACCTCTGAAAGACCAGCCAGTGCTCTTAACTGCTGAGCCATCTCTCTAGCCCCTGGCTTTTTTTTTTTTTTTTTTTTTTTGAGAGAAAGAAGAAGTTGGGTGGATTGGTAGAGGAAAGGACCTGGAAGGATTTGGGGATCAGGAAAGAATATGATAAAACATATGTTTGTAAAGAATAAAACAAAGGTTTAAAATAAAGCAGGAAAGAAAAGAAAGGAAAAGGAACACAGGGATCTATTCTAAACAATATATTGAAGCTGTTACAACTGCTAACTGATCCTTGACTGTAGAGTACACTGAAAAAGATGGAAAGTTAGAGGGCATGGTTAATAAAACCAGGAAAAGGAGTACATGAACAACATACTAAGTAACAGCCGTGACCCTGCCTTGCCTGAGGTCATTGGGATCATAATGGGGAAGTTACACAGAACTCTTTGTTTTCAAGAGACAATGATGACACACATTCCTGAAGTGATGTGACACTTGCAGCTAGCTCTAGTATGATTTAGGAAGAAAAAAAAATGTGTTGTGCAGGAACACAGAAAAAAGGCAGGTGTTCAGTGTGTGAACAGTTGGTGAATTAACAGTTGCATGTGACTGTTCACCAAGAAACTCTTTTTATGGTTTTGAGACTTCTCAAAATAAAAGTTGGGCAAAGAAAAATGATGGACATTACTTAATAAATTAATAATTATTGTCACTAAATAATGATAATATGAATGCAATTGGGCAAAAAGTAGTTTGAGTAAATGAGTAAATATCCTGGAGTTTGTTTCATAAATACATGTCTATCCTAGGAATAGTTATTAAGAATTTACTTTTAAAAGGGTATGAAACTCATGACTGGTTTTGGGTGAGTCTGGCAGCTGGCACTGTGAGAAATTTTTTTATTGATCTTATTGATCACAAGTGATCATTATAACAACCAGATTCAAGAATGCATGGCCATTCAAAAGAGGAAACAGATAAAGAATGCTCTGTTTACTGTAACAATGCTGTGCTGTGCTCTCAAGGTGTTAGCACCAAAGAGAAAGGCTGCTTCTGCCAACACCGGCTGGTTATATAACATTCACCCCACCAAAAAGCATGCTAGTGAAAGTATTGCTTATATTCTGAGGCTTCATGGTTTATGGAATGTTTGGATTAAAAAAAAAAAGAGGTTGTCATTCAAGACTAAAGCTTCTAATACTAGAAATAAACAAGTTTGGATATTTTATTGATTCAAAGGGGAGATACAGTGGAAGGCTACATACAAAAAGGAACCAGATTATTTCTTGAACATGAATCGAGGGTGTATGTTCACAAACCATGTGGGAAGAAGTTGCTCGAATGTGAGTGAAAATACTCAGTGAGGCTCTTCCTTGTTTATGTGAACTTTAGGGTCTTACACCAGTCATGACTAGTGAATTTCTTTCCCCCAAGACAGGGTTTCTCTGTGGCTTTGGAGCCTGTCCTAGAACTAGCTCTTGTAGACCAGGCTGGTCTCGAACTCAAAAGATCCACCAGCCTCTGCCTCCTGAGTGCTGGGATTAAAGGCATGTGCTACCACTGCCCTGCAGACTAGTGTAGTTTTAAACATACTACATACCGCTATTTCTTATCATTAGAAAACTAGTCTAGCCAACTAACTGTAATAAACTTCACATATGATTACTTCTTAGTATAAAAATCATATAGAGTTTTACTGCTGTGAGATTGGCCTGTCAAGGACTTCATAATAAACATGCATGGTATATGCACTCAAAAATTCTATGCACTGCAGAACAGGTGATTCCTTCTTGTTTTTGCTAAGATACTTTCCCAGTTATCCACACTATGAACCTATACCTACCTATTACCCTGGGGAGTCAGTGTCAGAGAAGCAGTGACTTAAACTGTCATGTTAGGGGGAAAAGTGCTAGAGGAGTTGACTTTCCCATGTTCATTGTATTTAATTAGTGTGTTACCAACTCCTACCCTTATAGAATCACTGCCTGGAGAGGGAAGGGTGCTGTCATGCTGTTTCCAGTGGCTTCTCACCTATAACATGCTGACCCAAACTCCTTTTCATGATATCATTCCTCTTCTTACCACTTTCTGAATCCTGCTATTTAATTACTATGGAATAGTAGAATTATATTTTTAAAAATTATATATACATATACATATATATATATAGTGTGTGTATGTGTGTGTGTATATGTGTGTGTATTGTGCATGCATATTACTTGATGCATGTGTAAGTTAGAGGCCAATTTTCAGGAATTGATTCTCTTTCCATTACGGGTTCTGGGGATCAAACTCTGGTCATCAGGTTTGTTGTGCCTTTACTTCTGAGCCATCTCACCAACCATAGAATAGTATATTGGGTGTTGTTGACAAAGTAGATTTCATAGATAGAATTTCTTTATAGGTTTCATTTCAGGAATATATCTGACACCAGGAATGTAGAAAGAAAGGAGTACATTTAGTGAGTAGAATTCTGCATATGGAGAGAAAAAAGATTTTCTTGCTTGCTTTAAGATATCTCGCACTGTGGCTCATATTGGCCTGGGACTCACTATGTAGCTACACTGCTCAGGCTGGACTCAAATTCATGGCTGTCCTCCCACCTCAGACTCTAAAGCGCTGGGATTAGAGAAGGCATAAGACACTACACCTGGCAGAAAACATTTTTATGAGAGCTTTATTGTTTGTTTCCTTTGTAAACTTAAACATTTTTGCATTAAGCTGTAATAAAACAGATGTCACTCAAATCAGTGATCAATGTTCTTATATGTTTATGTTATCTTTTCAAGTAAAAGACATGAATAAACTTTTATTACTTGACCTTTTGCATAAATATGTTAAGCTCCTGAATAATTAATATAATTATTAGGATTAGTTAATATGAGACTCGTGTATCTATCTTTTTATATGCTCTTACATAGTCTTTTGTTCTTTGATGTGTGTGGTGTTCATGTTGAGGGCCAGAGGTTGGTGTAGGATGTCTTTCTCAGCTGCTATCCACTTTCTAAGATAGGGTCCTTAGCAATGTAGCTAGACTGGCTGACCACTGGTCAGAATGTTCCTATCTCCAAAGTGCTTAGTTTTTAGGTGGGATGTAGGAAATCTAACACAGGCCTTACACAACAGGAATTTTACCAACTGTGTCATCTCCCTAGCCTAGCCCACTATTTCGTTTGTTTTTGAGACAGGGTCTCTATGTAGTCCTGGCTGGCCTCAAACTCACAGAGATCCTCCTGCCTCTGTCCCCCTGAGTTCTGGTATTAAAGGCAAATGCTACCTTAACCATTATATATCTAGTCTATTATATATCCTTGCAATCACTGTCTTTAATTTCTAAAAATATGTTAACTATAATCATTTTTTACTGTATTGCATGTTGAAGAACTGTTTATGAGTGAGAGTGGGTTACTCATCCCCTCCTTTTGATTTTTCTTTCTTCCTTTTTTCTTTCTTTCTTTCTTTCTTTCTTTTTTTTTTTTTTTTTTTTTTTTTTTTTTTGGTTTTTTTGAGACAGAATTTCTCTGTGTTGCTTTGGAGCCTGTCCTGGAACTAGCTCTGTAGACCAGGCTGGCCTTGAACTCACAGAGATCCACCTGTGTCTGCCTGCCGAGTGCTGGGATTAAAGGCTTGTGCCACTAACACTTGGCATTTTACTGATTTTTTTTTTTAATTTTTCTTCCTTCCTTTCTTTGTTTCTTTCCTTCTTTCTTTTTCTCTTTTGTCTCTCTTTCACTTTTTTCTATTTTAAGGAAGGAGAACTTCAGCCTCAGTATGGTCTTATATCAAATAGTGGAGTAAAAAGTGGTAAAAGTTTATTCAAATAGCTTCCAGCCTGAGAGCATTCTGGTTTCAAATCTCTTTACTCACTATTTTCCAGAGCACATCTGAAAAATGTTATATTTTAAAAGCAGAGTAAATGTAGATGTATTGAGGAAAAGTGGCAAAGAACTCTTGAGAGTGGGAGGGACTCCAAAGGAGGAGAACCCTGAGAAAATACTGACCTGTCTCTGTGACAGTGAATTTAGTAATTGCAGTCAGTCACTCATGTTCCAGAATGAGGCTTTCATATTGAACTGCACTGAGACAAGTTGAAAGTACATTCACCCTCTTCAGATAGAGGGAGGGGTCAGGGTCAGTAAAGCAATCCTTTCAGTAAGCCCAAGTAATAATCACTGGACAGCGGATCACACCAAAGCTTCAAGTGATCCAAAGCCTTCTGTTAGCACCCTGCCCTGATTGTCTAGCCAGCTGAAGAAGAATCTAGAAGAAGCTTTTCATGCACATCTATGAATGCTTCTCTTAATTCTTATAAGAAGTCCTGTCTAAGAAATTTACAACTATGAAAATGTTATAAAGAAACCATTATTTTGCATACTTATAAAAGATAAATGCAAACTCAATGTATTTCACAAGTTATTTTCCTAGTTTGAGCAGCACTTACCCACCTTCACTAACCAACTGGCTGTTATCTGACTGCTTATAGGAGATGATCTTCTCCACCAATTGGTTGTAGCTGCAGTTGCCAACAGCTTTTACAATGTCATCAATCTGGAAAACAAATGACTGTCTTACTAGCCCTGGCAACATTTAGAAACAGCAACAAAAACAATCCCATCATTCTGCAGGCCTGTGTTCTAATACAACAATCCCATCACTCTGTAGGCCTGTACTCTAATACAACACTAAACAGAAATGCTTAGGAGCACATCAGCACAGAATCCAGAACCCAGCAGTTTCTGTTTACAACTCAGTCTAACACATTATGAAAACTCTTGTTATATATTTGAATTGTGCAAAATGATAGTTATTACATGCAACCGTGAAGACTATAAAGATGCTTAATTTAAGCATCTACAATACGTGAAGTTTTGGGGAGGAAAAATAAGAATATTCAGGGGGTAGAGAGATGATTCAGCAGTTAAAAGCACTGGCTGCTTTTGCTGAGGTCCTGAGCACCATACAGGTGCTCACAACTGTCCAGTTCAGAAGCCAACACCCTCTTCTGATCTCCACAGGCACTGCACACATGTGATACACAGACATATAGGTGGATGAAGCATCCATAAACATAGAACAAAAATGAATAAAAGAGAAAGGGAAACTTCAGTGTTAAGATAAAATACACACGGTTTCAAACAGTGTGGTGGTACGTGCCCGTGACCTTCATGTTGAACCTCTCCTCCACCTGTGACACTTTCACACTTCTTTTACTTACTTTTGGGGGTTCATATAAATCTCAGGGTGTCCTCAAACTCAGAATGCCCATGCCATCTGCCCATAACTTTCTTTTATCAATTCTGAGGCATTTCTTCATCCTTACAATATTTCTTTGTAATTATTCTCTCTCTCTGATGCACTCTCTCTCTCTCTCTTAGTTTTTCAAGACAGGGTTTCTCTGTGTAACCTTGGCTGGTTGTGGAACCAGTCCTGTAGACCAGACTGAACTCAAACTCAGAGATCCTCCTGACTCTGCCTCTCGAGTGCTAGGATTAAAGGTGTGCGCATCCACTGCCCAGCTGAGTTTCTTTTCAAGATGATAAGATTATTCAAAATTTGATTTAGATGATAGCTACACATGAAATGTGCCAGAGAATGGAATATTCATATCCAACAACTCAAGTCTTACAAAATTAACTCAAAATGCATTATAGACTTAAGCATAATAAATAAAACTATAACACATTTAGCAAAGAAAAACACAACAGAAAACAGTCAAGATTTAGAGCTAGAAGGAGTTGTTGGACTTAACAGAGGAAAAAAATCAATAAAATATATTTCACTAAATCAAAAAACTTGATCAGGAGCAATGGCTCAATGGTTAAGAATACATACTGTTCTTCCAGAGGACCTAAGTTTGATTCCCAATACATATATTATGTGATTAACAACCACCTGTAACCCAAGCTCCAGGGAGCCCATACTCTTTTCTGGCCCCTGCAAGTACCTGCACATACATACACAGACACACATAAAAATTAAAATGAAATTTAATAACAAACTTTGATGCCAGGTGTGGTAGCACACACCTGCAACCTGGCACTCAAGAGGCAAGAAAATTATAAATTCTATGCTAGTTCTGATTATATATAGAGATCCCATTTCAAAAAACCAAAAAACACCAATATAATTGGAAAATTGGAGGGGGAAAAAGGGAAGGAGAAAAAGAGAGATTTTATTGAAGAGGACATACTAATAGCAAATAAGCATGGGAAAATATGTTCAACATCATTAATGGTTAAAGATACAAACTTTAAAAATCCAGGCATGGGGCTAGGAGATGACCCAGCTAGTAAAGTACTGCCATCCGAGGATGAGGACCTGAGTTTAATCTTCAACATTCATGTAAAAAGTAAAGCATGAAATCCTAGCACTGGGAAGGCAGGAAGATAGGAGCTCTGTGAGTTACAGGCTAGCCTGGTTTATATAGTGAGACCACATCCCAGCAAAAAAACAACAAAACAACTTTATACATAAGAAAGAAGCTGTTTCTTATTTTGGTTCTCCCAGGACTTCCTCTGCACTCTATTCTAAAGGCAGCTCTTTTACTTTCAGTCAGCTTGACTAGTGCATGGTAATAATGGACACTAAAGAGGTCTTCTTGTCTATCTCTGCTTGGAAGTTACTTGGAAGTAACTGTATTCCCTTCTTGACAGTCCCCTCATGCTTCAGCAAGTGGTGTTACTGGGTTTTAACCACTGTCTCTTCAGAGTTAAGGGGACAATGGTTCCTTGCTGTAGATAGCTCTAAGATGCTTCACTACTCCTTGGTTGTTTCCCTTACCTTTGCCCACATCTTTCTAACTAAGCTCTTCTTAAAACTTTGTTTAGTTCTACTGGGATGAATCTAGAATGTAGATTATTAAATACCAGCAATCAATGAATGTAGAGCAAGGTGCAAAATCCTTTTACACATTAGAGTGATGAGGATATGGGAGTGGCTTTTAAAATAAATGTCAGAGTGATTTTAAATCTCTATTTAATGTTATGCTCTTGACCAAGAAGAGGTCTGGCCTTTCCAGACTCTTGGAGTGATAACCTCTAAGTTCTTGGGATTTCTCTAGTAATAAGACCAATGGTGCTATTTATGGAAGAGCCTTCATGCCATACCTGCAGCTTACACTAGAGCACAGTGACTCATGGAGCCCCCCTTGAACAATGTGGCATCAAGTCTAGCTTCCTAGAAAGGAAAGATTGGAGACTGAGATCAACCACACTGGCAATCAATCATAAGAAATCTGAACTCTAGAGGCTGAGTTCTAGGATTGGCAACACTCTATGGATACTGCCATTGGCCAATTCCAGGAAGGCAGCATGCCTAGAGGGCAGGAGCTTCCTGGATAAAACCTTCCTATGCATCTTCTCTTGGTTAATATGAACCTGTATCTGATTTCTCTTGTGTGCACCATTATAGTAATAAGCTGAATTATTTGTATGCAATAGTACACCCAAGAAAGTTATCTTAGTTAGGGTTTCTATTGCTGTGAAAAGATACCATAACCATAGCAATTCTTATAAAGGAAAACATTTCATTGAGGTGACAGCTTACAGTTTCAGAGGTTCAGTCCCTTATCATCATGGTGGGGAGCATGTGGCATGGAGGCAGACATGATGCTAGAGGAGTAGCTGAGTCCTACATTTTTCACGCAACAGGAAGTTGACTGTGACATTGAGCAAAGCTTAAGAAAAGACCTCAAAACCTGGCTCTACTGTGACACACTCCTCCAACAAGGTCATAACTACTCCAACAAAGCTACACCTCCCATAGTGCCACTCCCTTTGGGGCCCATTTTCTTTCAAACCACCACAAGAATTCTAGAAAATCATTAAATCTTAGGCTATTTTGGAAAACCCTCTAAACTTCACAATTGATGTGAAAAGTGAGGGATTCTTCACTTGACTCTGTGGTTAGGGTCAGAAGTCTTGAGCAGGTTGGGCTGTGTGTCAGTACTCTCAGTTTTCTAATCCAGGTCAAAAAGTAAGCCTATTCATATTAAAAAATAAAATTGAGATAAACTTTCCTGCATTTGTGTTTATGTGACTCTTATTTTTATGTATATGTGTTTTTTTGCCTTCATGTATGTCTATGTGTGGCATGCCTGGTATCAAAAGCAAACATTAGATTCCCTGGAACTGGGGTTACAGACAATTGTGACCTGTCTGCAAGAGTAGCCAATGCTCTTAACCACTGAGCCATTTCTCAAGCCACCTGTATTTATATAGCCAAAACTCTACTTACCTGAGGGTCCACTAACCACCCATGATACAAAGGTATATCTAGAAGATCGAAGACTATGCACTCAGGTGTGTACTCGAACACTCGCACCCCAGTGAACCTGACATTCACATCCAGGCCTGTCTGTAGTTTGTGCAATATCGACATAGCATCACTCATATTCTGAAAATTCAAAGGGGAGAAGTAGAATTCAGAAGAATATGAACTACAAAAAACAATCAACCAAAACCAACCAACCAACCAACAAAACAAACAAAACAAAAAAGTTTGTGTGTGGTGTTGACAAGTGACATGAACTTGTAGTCCCAGTCATTTGAGTCCAAAATTTCCATGCCAGCCTAGGCAACACACAAAGATCCTGTTTCTGTTCTTCCTTCTCTCTCTCTCTCTCTCTTTCTCTCTCTCTCTCCTTTTTCTTTTCTTTTTCTTTTTTGAGACAGGGTTTCTCTGTGTAGCTTTGGCTGTGCTAGAACTTGCTCTGTAGACCAGGCTGGACTCAAACTCACAGAGATCCACCTGCCTCTGCCTCCCAAGTGGGACTAAAGACTGTGAGAGAAAGAAAGCCTAAGAGAGAAAGAAAGAAAAAGTTAAAATTTCCATTTTATCCAAGTTATTCCCCTCTTCAACACTTTTATTAATTGCATTATTTGGTCAAATGCAGAGCTTTGTACTGCTAGACAAGCCACATCTTCAGATCCTTTATAGACATTTCATTAAGTGGATACTGTGTACCAGGCACTAATCTGAGTCCCACTGATACAAGAGTGAACATAACAGGCTTTCTGCTGTCATGTGATTAGCATGGTGCTACAAGAGAAAGCCATGTAAATGTACAATATGATGCCAAGCATTAACAAGTAAAAGTGAGCAGAATGAGGTTGTGAAGAGTTGCAGGAAGTCTTGTTTTAGACTAAGAAGTTTAAAGGAAAAGTCTGATGTTTAAGGACTCTGTCACTTCAGGACCCAGGCTCAGTACAAAAACAGTCAAGAAGCAGTAGTGCAAATGCCTCTGACATTATTATCAGTGGCACAAGAAGGAACTCCTGTCACATGCTAGGACACAGATAACCCTTCAAGAACGAAATAAACTGCCCAAAGAGCAGATGCTTTGTGATTCTGTTCTGTAATGGTAAAGTGACCACAATGACCAGAACTGAAAGTAGAATGGAGGGCTCCTGGGACAGTAGGAGTGACAAATGTGAAGTTATTGCTTGGTGGGTATAGAGTCCAGTCTCACAAGATGAGACAATTCTAGAGCTCTTTCACACCTCACTTTAAATGTAGTTAACATCATTAAACTGTACAGTTTAAGCCAGGCATGGTAGCACATGTCTTTAATCCCAGTACTTGGGAGGCAGAGACAGGCAGATCTTTCTGAGTTTGACGCCAGCCTGGTCTACAGAATAGGCTGTTAGAGAAACCCTGCCTCAACAAACAAACAAACAAACAAACAAACAAACAAACAAACAAACCTGTACAGTTTAAAAGGATGGCCTATGAATGTAATGCTATATGGTTTTATTACAACTTAAAAACTGGAAATGAGTTCTTGGGCCATGAAAGGATATGAAGGAACCTAACTGTACATCATTAAATAACAGAAGCATATCTGAAGAGACCAAGACCCTACATGTGGGGTCTAGCTCTGGAAATGGCTGATCTTACAGAGACTCTAGGAAGATCAGTTGTCAGCAATCATGGAGGGAGAAGTACCTAGCAGCACACAGTGAGACATTTCTGTGCTGTGTTATGCTGGTGGATACAATCCATCACACACTTGTCAAAATTCACAGAATTTTGTAGGTGAAACCTACTGCAAACTATGGACTTTGGGTGACAATCCTGTGTTAACGTAGGATTGTTAGTCCGAGAAATGAAGTTCCCAGAAGAAAAAGTCCACCACAAGTCAGAGATTCTTCAAAGCTGACTGATTGAGTAGAACTTGGAAACAGGTGGAATGTTGCAGACCCAAAGCCCAAATTACCTAGGGCTATCTCTAGTCCTCTTAAAAGGCCATCATCCTTGTGACTATTAGGTAAAAACTTTTAGAAGGCCACTCTTATTTCCCTAGATGAGAGATTCCCTGTGTGTGGTCTAACAAACATACTACCTTGGTGTGGGAAGGTAATAATGGAGAAGCTGTATTTGCAGGTTGAAGAGGAGTGAGAGGCATATGGAAACAGTTGCTTTTCCTGTACTTGAGTTTTCACTGAATATACTGAACATAAAAAAAAAAAGGTGGGCAGAAGGGAGCGAGGGAGGGAAGAAGATGGAGAAAGAAAGGCTTCTTTGAAACTAAGTTCTTGCCAGGTGGTGGTACTGCACACCTTTAATTCCAGCACTTGGGAGGCAGAGGCAGGTGGGTTTTTGAGTTTACGACCAGCCTGGTCTACAGAGTAAGTTCCAGAACAGCCAGGACTACACAGAGAAACCCTGCTTTGAAAAACAAACAAACAAAAATATCAAAAAACAATAACAACAATAAAGAATACTAACAAACAAAACAAAACAAAAAACGGATACAAAAATGAACATATTACAGTATTTGTGGACAGCAAGGAATCTTGTAAGGATAGATCTAGGAGTTGTAGGTGAAGTCTGACAGGCAGAAAGCAGATCACAAAATCTAACTGCCTAGGTTAAGAAGCGGATAAAGGAGCTTCCTGCACAAGTGTGATGATCAATTTCATTGATGGAACCCACAGAAGAAAGACAGAACTGATTCCTTCAAAGTTGTCTTTTGGACTTTTACATGCAAACTGTGGTGTATACACACACACACACACACACACACACACACACACACACAGATAAATGCATTAATTAATTAATTAATTAATTAAAAATAAATGTCACAAATAATGAAGATTATTTTAAAGCCCATTTTTCTGATTTTTTATATTAAGTATAAGAATAAACAGGATATACCTCATAGAACAAATAAAAACGAATGCATATTGTAATTCTAGCAGGAGGACAGGAAATTCAAGGCCAAGCTGGCCTCCACAGTAAGACCATGTCTCAAAAAACAGTAAATAATCTCCTACCATTCAGTAGTCATCAAGATGAATAAAACTGACAATATAGGTACATTTATAAACAAAGGTTAAAGAGAGAAAAAAAATTTGGACAACTTCTTCCTAATTCCAAATTGGTAATTATGGTGTAAAATATAGGAGTAAGGTATGGCTGCTGATACCCTAAGAAGAGGTTACTATTGGATCCTTAAAGTGATGATAAAACTGTTTTAGAATTCCTCTCAAAAGTACTTCTAGCATAATGAAGTATTTTACATTTAAATACAAAACATACTTTTATTTATTTCAGGCAATCATGCTGTGCAGGCCAGGTCTTGAACTTTCAGTCCTCCATCACCTGCCTACTCAGATTATGATGATGTGCTGTCACAGCTAGCTTAGACATAAGTATGTTTTACAAACACATCTGTGATCACTTAAAAACTTGTCAGCCTGAAGGTGCAGCTTAGTGATAGAGCCCTGACCTAGCTGTGTGAGGCCCTTATTTAATACTGTACAACTGCAAAAATAAATAAGTGAAATAAAAATGAAAACATACTGTGTTTTCTTACCCTTGTCTATTTTAAAAGGCTAGAAAGTGTGCACTGTCAACATGGTGGCTTTTGGCAGATGATTCATGTGACTATTGTTGGTCTTTCCAAAAGTAGGCCTGACCATGTCAGTTCATATAAAGTCTCATTAAGAAGAGGTGCCTGGCACCAGTGGGCTTTAAACAGGTGCTCAGACCCAGCATGTAGCTGTAGTACTAATACTGCTAAAAAAAAAAAACTATTTAAAATCACTGCTTTAAACTACTTTAAACTGCTTTAAATTCTCCTAGTAATTTTTGGGAGAGTTAATGAGTAGTAAACATAGGTCCTTCTGAGCTATACTTCATTCAGTCTTCTCTAACAAAATTTAAATCAACCTAAAAATTTGACTTCAGTTATTGATTGCCTATAATGCAAGTGGTTGGTTTTTCAATTGTATTAGATGAAGATTATGTGAACAATCAAATTCAAGAAAACTCATAAATTAATCCTAGCACTGGGAGGTAGGGAAAGGTGTTTCTTTGTGAATTCCAGGCTAACTTGGTCTACACTGTGGGATCCAGGCGAGCCAAGTCAACACAGTGAGACCCTGTCTCAATCAATCAATCAATCAATCAATCAGTCAGTCAGTCAGTCAGTCAGTCAATCAGTCAGTCAATCAATCAATGAAAGAGAGAGAAAGTAAGAAAGACAAACTGTGAAAAAAATAAATGAACTTTGTTTCCTGTTGTGAATTTGCTCCTGCTGGTTGTCTTGTATTTTGAGAGAGGGTCTCACTGTATAATCCTGCTTAGCATGGAAATCTACACAGGTCAGGCTTCCCCATGCCCAGCTGATCACATATTTTGAAGATTACTCTAACCCTAAACATAATAAAAGCAATATACAGTAAACCAAAAGCTAACATAAAACTAAATGGAGAGAAATTTAATGTGATTCCTCTAAAATCAGGAACAAGACAAGACTGTCCACTCTCTCCATATCTCTTTAATATTGTTCTAGCTAGAGTAGTAACACAACAAAAGGAGATCAAGGGGATACAAATTGGAAAGGAAGAAGTCAAACTATCACTATTTGCAGATGATATGATAGTTTACATAAGTGACCCAAAAAACTCTACCAGGGAACTCCTACAGCTGATAAACACCTTCAGCAAAGTGGCAGGATACAAGATTAACTAAGAAAAAAAAAATTCAGTAGCCCTACTGTATACAGATGATAAAGAGCTGAGAAAGAAATCAGGGAAACATCACCCTTTACAATAGCCACAAACAACATAAAATATCTTGGGGTAATGCTAACCAAACAAGTGAAATACTTATATAGCAAGAAAGAAATTAGATACCAGAAAATGGAAAGATCTCCCATGCTCTTGGATAGGTAGAATCAACATAGTAAAAATGGCAATCTTGCCAAAAAGAAATCTACAGATTCAATGCAATCTCCATCAAAATTTCAGCACAATTCTTCACAGACCTTGAAAGGACAATACTTAACTTCATATGCAAAAACAAAAGACCCAGGATATACAAAACAACCCTGAACAATAAAGAAACTTCCAGAGGCATTACCATCCCCGACTTCAAGCTCTACTATAGAACTATAGTCTTGAAAACAGCTTGATATTGGCACAAAAAAAGATAGGTAGACCAATGGAATTGAATTGAAAACCCTGATACTAACCCACACACCTATGAACACCTGATTTTTTGACAAAAAAGCTAAAATTATACAATGGAAGGAGGAAAGCATCTTCAACAAATGGTGATAGCATAACTGGATGCTGGTGTGTAGAAGACTGCAGATAGATCCATGTCTATCGCCGTGCACAAAACACATCCAAATGGATCAAAGACCTCAACATAAATCCAGCCACACTGACCCTTTTAGAAAAGAACGAATTGGTACAAGAGACTCCTTCCTGAACATAACACCAGTAGTGACCTCAACATAAATCCAGCCACAATGAACCTCTTAGAAAAGAAAGTGGGAAGTACCTTTGAATGAATTGGTACAAGAGACTCCTTCCTGAACATAACACCAGTAGCACAGATACTGAATTTGACAATTAATAAATGGGACCTCCTAAAACTGAGAAGCTTCTGTAAGGCAAAGAACACAGTCAACAAGAAAAAATGGCAGCCCACAGAAGCGGAAAAGATATTCACCAACCCCACATCTGACAGGGGGCTGATCTCCAAAATACATAAAGAACTCAAGAAGCTTGTCACCAAAACACCAAATAATCCAATTAAAAAGTTAGGTACAAAACTGAATAGAGAATTCTCAATAGAGAAATCCAAAAATGACTGAAAGACACTTAAGAAAGTGCTAAACATCAGAGAAATGCAAATCAAGGCAACTCTGAGATACCATCTTACTCCTGTCACAACGGCTAAAATCGGAAACACCAATGACAGTTTATGGTAGAGAAGATGTGGAGAGGGGAACACTCCTCCACTGCTGGTGGGAGTGCAAAATGCAAAGCCATTTTGGAGATCAGTATGGCCATTCCTCAGGAAACTGGGACTCAGTTTACCACAGGATCCAATTCCACCCTTAGACATATACCCAAAAAATGCACATCCATGCAAAAAAGATATCTGTTCAACTATGTTCATAGCACTATGTGTAATAGCTAGAACCTGGAAATAACCTAGATGCCCCTCAAATGAAGAATGGATAAAGAAAATGTGGTATATTTACACAATGGAGTACTACTCAGAGGGAAAAAAAAACAATGGAATTTTGAAATTCGAAGGCAAATGGATGGAACTAGCAGAAACCATCCTGAGTGAGGTAACCCAGTCACAAAAAGACAAACATGATATGTACTCACTCATATATCGATTTTAGACATATAGCAAAGGATAACCAGCTTATAATTCATACCACCAGAGAAGCTAGGAAACAAGGAGGACCCTTAGAGAGACCTACATGTTCCCTCACAGAAGGGGAAAGGGACAAGATCTCCTGAGCAAAATGGGAGCGGGGTGGGGTGGGTGCAATGAGTGGAGAGGGAATTAGGAGAAAGAGAAGGGGAGAAGAGGAGGGGAGAGGAGAACATGAGGGAGCAGCAAGATTGAGTTGGGGGTGGAATAGAGGAGAGCAAGAAAAGTGATATCATAATAGAGGGAGCCATTATAGGTTGAAATCTGGCACTAGGGAAATGTCCAGAGACCTACAAGGATGACCCCAACTAACAATCTGAGCAATAGTGGAGAGGCTACCTTAAATGCCCTTCCCTGATAATGAGATTGATGACTACCTTATAGGTCATCCTAGAGATTTTATCCAGTAGCTGATGGAAGCAGAAACGAATACCCACAGCTAAACACTAAGCTGAACCTTCTGGAATCTAGTTACAGAGAGGGAGAAGTGATGAGCAAAGGGGTCAAGACCAGGCTGCAGAAACCCATAGAGATAGCTGACCTGAAAAGGGGGAGCTCATGGACCCCAGACTAATAGCTGGGAAACCAGCATAGGACCAACCCAGACCCCCTGAATGTGTGTCTCAGTTAGGAGGCCTGGTCAGTCTATGGGACCTCTGAAACTGAAACCAGGCTGTATCTCTGGTGCGTGAAAGGATTTCAGGAGCACATTCCCCATGGAGGAATATTCCTTAGCTTAGAGACACGAGGGAGGGCCTAGGTCCTACCCCAAATGACTTGACAGATTTTGATCCCTCTTGGAAGGCCTAACCCTTCCTGGGGAGTGGATGGGGGATGGGATGGGGGGGATGAGGGGTATAGGAGGGTGGGAGAAAGAGGGAACTGGGATTGATATGTAAAATTAAAAATCCAAACAAACAACAACAACAACAACAAAAAAAATTTACTCTCCAGTCCTGTATAGAAAAAGTTTCAAACCACAGACAATGATCATTGTGTATATTCATAATGCAAAATTATACATTTTAATATAAAAATATGTTTATTACCTGTTCATAATTTACACGTTGAATTTCTGAAATTTCTTTTGGCTTTGCCTCAAGCATGTAGTCACCTGTAAAAAGAAATTATAAATTGCCTTTAAAAAAATACTCTTTCTGGCTGGGCATTGGTGACACATGCCTTTAATCCCAGCACTTGGGAGGCAGAGGAACTCTGTGAGTTCCAGTCCAGCATGACATTGCAGCAACAGGTAGCTTATAAAGTCTGACCCCTCAGTTCTACCCAGAGGAAGTTAAAGTTTTGCCTTACATAGTTTTCAAGGAACACATATAATACTCATGAACTTTCCCTTACCTCTCTTCCTTTCTTCCTTTTTGTGGTAGTATGAATTGAATCCAGGGCTCTATTCATGGCAAGCAAGTAGAACTTTATCTCCAGCCCTTTTTAACTATATAACTATATATATAACTGTGTGTGTGTGTTTCCTGCATGCACATCTGTGTATGATAAGTGTTCCTGGAGCCAAGAAGAGGGTATTGGCATCCCTGCAATTGTGGTTACAGGGCATGTGGGCACTGTCATGTGGGCACTGGGAATTAGATCTATGTCCTCTGCAAGAGCAGGAAGTGCTTTTAACCACTGAGCCACTTCTCCAGCTCCACTTCCTTCAGTCTTTGAGACAAAGTCTCACTCAGTTGCCCAGTTTGGCTTGACCTTGCTCTGTACCCAGGTTGGCCTTGTCCTAGAGATCTTCCTGCCTCAGCTTCTTGAATAACTAGATTTACAGCCCTATGCCATCAGGCCCAATTTGAATCTTGTTTTTTATTTTCCATTTTACAACATATTTGAGCATCTTTCTATGACCTATAGCATCCCAAAGAATGCACCAACTTCAACTGCTATAAATAATTTAACTACTTCCCCAATAATCTCAAAACCCATAGATGCTACCAGTGTTTAAAAATCTTTACTGATGTATACCAATCTTTTATTTCTAGCTCTTGGGAGGCAGAAGCTGATGGATAGCACCCTTGTCACTGATATCATTTTTAATGCATATATAACTTTTCAATATAAGTGGCATCTTTAAAAATGGGAAGTACAATTTTATATGTATCTATCTCTGTATGTACACACACACACACACTCACACACACAAACATATTTCTTAAAATTTTATTTATATGTATGGATGTTTTGCCTGCTGGTATGTCTGTGTGTCATGTGTATACCTCAGAGGCCAGAAGAGGGTGTCAAATCCCCTTGGATTGGAGCAACAGACAGTTGTGAGCTGTCTCCAGGTGGGTATACTTGAATTGGGTCTCCTGGAAGCATAGCCATTGTTCTTGATTTTTAAGACAAGGTCTCACTATGTAGCCTTGAGTGGCCAGGAATTCACAGAGATCCACCTGCTTCTGCCTCCCAAAAGCTAGGGATAAAGACATGCGATGCCATACATGGCATATATTATTTTTATATAAAGATTGTGGAGTTCTTGTATATTGAGCCTAGGGCCTTGAACATGCCCAAGCATATGTGTTCTACCACTGAACTACAGCCTCAGTATACATATTGCCTGTGAAATTAACTGAAAATGCCCTTTTCTTTAAATGATCAGTGTATTTGTTATCATTTTGAGTTATAAAATCTTTTACATTTTTACCACATTTATATTTTTGTATTAATTTAGTGCATGTGTGTATATGTATGTGTCTTGGAGACTGAATTTAGGTGGTTAGGTTTGATGGCAGGTGCTTCCTTCACTCACTAAGTCATCTCATTGACCTTATCGCTCTTTCAGAATGAGAGGAATTAGCATAATCCTTGTGATATATTTAGTAAACATATTTTCCTAGAGGGATATTTTTTATACTTTATGACAGTTTGTTATTGTTTGTTTTTTTCAAGAATGGAAATAGCTATGCATATTCTGGATTGGATGCTATGTTCAGAAGGATCTCCACTGGTTTAGAGTTTACAAATAAATACTTATGCTTTCTTTAACCTTTGTGTGCCTCCTTCTAAATGTTTAAATCTTTCATTTTATTGTTTTTGTTTTTCAAAACAGGATTTCCCTGTAGCTTTGGAGCCTGTCCTGTCAGTAGACCAGACTAGTTTCGAACTCATAGAGATTCACCTGCCTCTGCCTCCCAAATGTTGGGATTAAATGCCTGCACCACCACTGCCTGGCTAAATCTTTCATTTTAAGTGGAATTTATTTTGATAGAAACAATAAGATATGAAACTAGCTTCTTACTCAAATAGCTAACAAGTTAACAAAACTACTTTACTATAACCTTTACTTTTGACTTTGAAATAAGCTTATAAAGACTACACCAAATATTATCTAAGCTTTGCAACTCTGAAAGCAAAAGAATTCCTATGACAACAATCTTTATTTTAAGACAATTATAACTGCAATGACTTTATTTTACTTATACAGGAGAACTTTAATGTGCTAAAATAATTGCTTTATGGAATAGCGTATTTAATTTTTGTTTGCTTGTTTGCTTTTGATACAGGGTTTCTATGAGTAGCTTTGGAGCCTGTTCTGGAACTTGCTCTGTAGAACAGGCTGGCCTCAAACCCACATAGATCCGCCTGCCTCTGCTTCCCTAGTGCTGGGATTAAAGGCATGTGCTAGCACTACCTAGCAAGAAATATTTAATTTTTAAGCTATACAGATTGTTTTGTTTGTACTAGGGAATGAACTCTGGGTTTCATATTTGAAATGCTTTTTATTTAGTCCAGGCTGCCTCAAATTTATAATATTCTCAATGCTAGGATTTCATACATGTACCATGAAACCAGGTTAGGTTGAAGTTTTGATGTTGTCAGCAAATTATATATGATATTTATTTGGATAATGTGAGAGTGTGAGTGGTCTGCTTGATTCCTGTATTTCATTTGTGTTCTGTGTTTATTTTGATGAAAGACTGGGTGTGTTTTCCTTAGCTACCATGTTACTTGTTAGTTGGAGTTGGTCTGTAGAACATTATATGAGATGTGTGTGGTAATATTTTGCTTATGATCTAATAAAACTTACCTGAAGATCAGAAAAACAAAGCCCCCAACCACTATAGATGTTATTTTCTTCTCTCTCTCTCTCTCTCTCTCTCTCTCTCTCTCTCTCTCTCTCTCCTTTTCTTTTGAGACAGGGTTTCTCTGTGTGTAGCTCTGGCTGTCCTGGAACTCAGTCTGTAGACTAGGCTGGCCTCAAACTAACACAGATCCACCTATCTCTGCCTCCTGAGTGCTGGGATTAAAGGTGCATGCCACAACCACCCATTGCACTAGAGAGTTCTTAATTCTACCAAGGTTGGTGTGATCCTGTCCTCAACATGACTGCAGACTGAATATAGACTGAGACCCTGAGCTCTTGTCTTATAATCCTTTCTAGTGCTGGGATTAAAGGCGTGCACCACCACCACCAAGCTTCTATGGCTAACTAGTGTGGCTGCTGGGACTAAAAGTGTGTACCATCACTGCATGGCCTCTATGGCTATGGTGAATTTTGCATTCTGATCTTCAGGCAAGCTTTATTAGATCATAAGCAAAATATCACCACAATAATGCTTGGGGACTAATGGCAAGACTCTCTTTATACTTATACCTTTTTATATATCCTTCCATATAGAACGTATTTACTGACTCATTATCTTTTGTGTTTTTTCTATGTTCTTTAGACAGGGTCATCTTTGTAGCACAGGCTAGCCTTGAAATCATGATTCTCCTGCCTCAGCCTCTCCAGTGCTGGGATTATAAGTGGGTTCTACCACACCTGCCTGATTTACTTCAATGAATAGAATTTCAGAGTAATGAGATGTCACTTATATAATTAGAAAATACTGTAGCTTTTATTGTTGTGCTCTCTACTGCTTACTCTGAAGACAGCTAGCTCCCATGTTGGGAAGCTCCTTATAAAGAGCTTCCTATGGCAGGAGGCTTCCAGCCAACAGTCATCAGATAACTAAGGGCTTTATTACCACAACTCAAGAGAAACTGAGTCCTGCCATCAACTGAATGTGTCAATGGCTATCAATTCTCCATAGTTACACTTTCACCTGAAGTGGCAGTTCTTGTGGGCACTGTGTCTTCAGCCTCCTAAGACCTTGAATGAAGCTGTCACCCAGATTCCGGACCCAAAGATACTGTTAAATAAATTATTATTGTTTGGGATGATTTATTATAAAGCACAAGATACCTAGTGTACTAGGCACACAATGCTAGAACCATATAGTTTAGGAAGAATTTGTAATATAAGAATCTGATTGATGGTGTGTGTGGATGCATTGGAGAGCAAACCCAGAACTTTGTTGAGTGCTACGGTATATTCTACCACTGAACAAAACCTATAGCCCTTATAATCAGATCTTTTTAAAAAGAAGAAATTAATCTTCTAAGAAAGCACCTTTCAGTTTTAGATATGAAAATAAATTATCTCTTAAGAGTATACTTTTATCTATATTATCACACTATAGTGTCTGTACTTATTTTAAAAACATTTACATAAAAGGTGCTTCTTTTCCACAGCTCTGGAGCCTAGAGATGACATAGGACAGCCTGGATTACATGGCAACCTTGTGTCACAAAACAGAAGTATTTCTTTTCTTTCTTTTTGGGATTTTTTTTTTGTTCTCTCAATATTTTTGCTTTCTTAAAAGATTTATTTTTAATATTATGTGTGAGATGGCTGGAAAGATAGCTCAGCAGTTAAGAGCATATACTAGTATTGCAGAGGACTGAAAAAGCTCATAACTGCCTGTAACTCCAGCCACAGGGGATCCAATGCCATCTTCTGGCCTCCATAGGCACTGTACTCTTGAACACATGTATGTGTGTGAATGCACAAGTACACACACAAACACACACACACACACACTTAAAGTTCGAAAAATGTTATTTGTAGATACAGGCATATGAACATGGGTGCCTGCAGAGGCCAGAAGAAGTATCAGATCTGGAGTTACAGGAAGCTGCAAGCCATCTGACATGGATGCTGGGACCTGAACTGGTAGGTGAACAAGCACTCTGAAGGGAAAGAGGGTTGGCACTGCAGCTGGGCAACAGAATGCTTTTCAAGCATGTGCAAGGACCCTGTCAAACAGCTGA